CTCTCTCTCTCTCTCTCTCTCTCTCTCTCTCTCTCTCTCTCTCTCTCTCTCTCTCTCTCTCTCTCTCTCTCTCTCACGATTGCGCGGCAAGTCTTGCCCTCTCTCTCTCTCTCTCTCTCTCTCTCTCTCTCTCTCTCAACAGAAAAATTGTGGCAATTTTTCTAGCAGGATGATCACGTGTGGACACCACATTTCAACCGTTGGAACTTTGTTTATAAATTGTTTGGCGGGGGGGGGGGTCATGTATTCCACCAAAAGTGAAGGAAACCAATGCTGACCAAACATTGGACTCACTGAAACTGGTGTGTCTATCTGTTGGTCCATTTGTTGAAAGGATGTTGGTCCATCTGTTGACCATTTGTTGACAACTTGTTGAAAACTTGTTGAAGACTTGTGGATAACTTGTTGGAACGTGTTGAGAACGTGTTGAAACGTGTTGAAAACTTGTTGAAACGTGTTGAAAACTTGTTGAAACGTGTTGAAAACTTGTTGAAACGTGTTGAAAACGTGTTCACGTTTCGTTGAACGTTACGTTTTTGTGTATGGGAAAAAAATCATTATTTTTGGCTCATGTCGTCGGTTTTCGCCGTTTCTTCCAGTCATTTTCTCCTGGTGCACGATATGATATGCTCTTTCGCAAATGTCAATCGTAGAGTCTTTCGGTACTCCTGACATGCAACGACCACAATGACTGAAGATAAAGAGAGAGGGCCAGAGAGAGAGCGAGAAAGAGAGAGAGAGAGCGAGAAAGAGAGAGAGAGAGAGAGCTGGAAGCAAGGTTCACTACTGCGTGACACAAATTCACCAACATGGCAGTGCGAGACAGACATTGGCCCGTAGTAGCCAACCTTTGTTTTTTATTGGTGCTGGATTGCGGTTGCTGATGGACGTGTGAGGGTGCGTCGATTAAATGCTGAGCTGCCCTGCTACAAGCACGGTTCACTACTGCGTGACACAAATTTACCAACATGGCAGTTCGCGAGAGAGAGTAGCACGCAGTAGCCAACCTTCCTTTTCGAGTCTGTAGGATTGTCGTGCTTCATTCTATGGACGGACGCGTGTGGGAGCCTCAATTAAATGCTGAGATGACATGCTACAAGTACGGTTCAGTACTCTGTGACACAAATTTAGCAACATAGTGGCATGACAGAGAGAGTGGCACGCACTAGCCAACCTCTGTGATGATGACAACCACGGATGGTGTTTTTTTCATAACATAGTCGCTCTATGACCAATCACACAAAGATGAGCATTACAAGGGATTGTACAATTGTGTATCATAAATAACAAACCATATGTTGTAAAGTGACTGTTCAAGTGTCATGGTTCAGAGTCTTCATCTCCTCTCTCTCTCTCTCTCTCTCTCTCTCTCTCTCTCTCTCTCTCTCTCTCTCTCTCTCTCTCTCATGGAATGACCGTGACCTTGTGTAATGAACCTNTCTCTCTCTCTCTCTCTCTCTCTCTCTCTCTCTCTCTCTCTCTCTCTCTCTCTCTCTCTCTCTCTCTCTCTCTCTCTCTCTCATGGAATGACTGTGACCTTGTGTAACGAACCTTATGATTCACAGAGTCCATAATGAACCTTCTGATTCACACTATTCTCACCACCTCTCTCCCCCCCCCCCTGTTCAAGGTCTGGCGCACAGACTTTCTGTATCCCTCTCCTCGTCTCTGCTTCTCTCATGCTGAGGTGCAATGAACTCGAGGTCGAAATCGTCATCCGTTATTGTTGTGTTGTGTGGCCCACTCCTGTGGATGCAGGGCACGCCAGCTCGAAATAGCGCAGCAGCCTTCTCAGCAACAGATACGGCACGGTCCATCTTGAAGATCGAAAAACTCATGACTGTGTCGCGGCTGCGGACAGATGATGCAATCTCCTGCTTTATAGAGACCAATTTTTCTATCTGCTCCGCTGGTCTGGTGGTCTTTGTTGTCTGCTCGATTTCACATTGCATAACCATCTCTGCAAAAGTCAGTTGTTGCAGGGTCACGCCAAGGTTTACGCCGTCCCTCCTCATCTGGAAAACCTTTGTGAGTATCGTCTTGAAGGCTGGGGCACCCCAAGGATCGTTGTCGCTCCGTCTCCACGTTTTGTTCTCCTTCATCTTTGCTCGCATCTTGTTGCGAGTAGGGAGTTGGTGATCTGTTTGCTGCGATCGTACAAGCGGGATCCCTTTTTCAGCCCAGAAACCAATGTTTAAGTTGCCATGTTATCTCTCCACGCACGGTTGTCATCATTCTGTTGCACTCCCCTATGACTGCTCAAATCCCGCACTCTGCTACGTGTGATCGCAGTCCTTCCTCGCCATTCTCGCCTATCAGTTTGGTCGTTGTTTGCAGCGCCGTGAAAAATCAATCCTCTGTTGGGTACAGAGTTGCGTCCTTTGCTGCTGAGAACGCAAAGGCTTTTGCGACCACCCGGAACAGTCTGTCCTTCATTTTCTTCGAGAATACGCCGCTTTCTTGATTGCCTTGTTGCTGTCCTCCCTTACTCGCGCACACTTTTCTTTGCGAGTTCGTGCCATCTGCTGGAAGACACACATTACAATGCACAGAATAATATTAAGAACTCCGCATTTCGCACCCATTTTCGCACCTGCCAAATTCGACAGCCCGTTTCAACTGTAAGTTCATCACAGCGACATCCTCGCAATAAGGAAGTGACATCACTTAGCGTCGTCACCACGTAATCGTTGTGCAAGAGGAGCAACTTCAGCACATTTTGTTTACCTTTCTTAACTGCGTTGTCATGCCTCACTAGTTGTCTGTCAATAGAGGGCGTGTCGGCCGCGCCTCCCTCGCCGGCACTTTCGGCTTCCCTCGTGCGTCGCGTTCTTCCCGGAGATGGGGAACTCCCTCTTCCGCCCGCGCTTCTGTCGTCTTCGCCTGCCCCGTCACCGCCCTCGTCCTGCGCTGTGCCGTCGCTGCTCCTGCCATCCTCGTCATCAGCGCTGTGAGTGTCGTGAGAATGTCCATCGGAAGTTTGACTGTCACCTCCCTCGTCACTTGTTGCCTCGTTCTCCTCCCCGTCAGACTTTTCTGATATTGACTGGTTGTGTTCCTCTTTTGCTTCCTCTCGGGCCGCGCTGTGCACATCGTCCGAGGCTCTCAGATCGATCATCTCCATCATTCTGTCCTTTTTGTACGTGATTCTCTTCTTTGTCATGTGGTGGACCTTTGACATTCCGTCTTCCCGCAACCTCTTCTCGAGGGCCTTGGGTGGACGGTTCTCGACGCCGCTGACACGGTTCCGTGGGGCAGGAGTCACAGGGGGTGACTCATTGCGTTCTTTCAGCTTTGAAATCCCCCTCTGACTTGATGGGAGAGAAACTTTTGATCCATTTCTGTGGCTGCTGGTCCGCTCCGTTTTTGCATTCTGGGATCTGCTTCTGCGATGCTCTCTCCTTTCTTTTTTCTTATCAACCTTGCATTTCTTCCTCCCCTTGTCCTTCTTTCCCACGCCCTTCAAAGACCTGCACAGATCCTCGTATTTTGGCTTTGGAGCCATGACCTTTTTTTCCCCACATACATCAAAGTGGAATACGAACAAGAACTGCATCAGCAATGTCGTGCGTCGATCCATACACCCCTGAAGTGTAATGGCCGCATTGAGAGAGAGAGAGAGAGAGAAGAAGAAAAAAAAAAAATAATAATAATAAATAAATAAATAAATAAATAAATAAATAAAACAGTTATTGGGAATGTGAGGTGGGGAGAGAGAGAGAGAGAGAGAGAGAGAGAGAGAGAGAGAGGCACAACCAAGATCTTATTGTTGATATTGCGACGTCATTTAAGTCACCAACCTCTTTGTGCGTCAGAATGACTGTATCCGTATTGTCAGGCGGCACGGGTTCGCATAGTCACAATAACAAAAAAATAGCGAGCAAAGAAAAACTTCGAACATGTCCCCGGCCATCACCGCGAAAAGGTTGGCTACTGCGGGCCAATCAACTGGTGAAGCCACCGGTTTTTATGTAACAAATATCCGCAGTAGTGAACTTTCCTCGCATCGTCCTTTGACGACCTCAACGGTCAAGCCAACGGCCAATTCATCATTAATGTCAGTCTGCTCTTCTCTCGTTTTCGTCATGTCCCCGACTTTCGCTTTTCCCTTGGTGCTTCGAATATCAATTGGGGAGACTGTGCTTCACCCTCTATTATTATATCGTACATTTCCGAGTACCAAGGGTCCCTCAACATTTTATGCCACCTCTTTGCTGACCTCTCACTGGTCAATGGCAACAACGGTTCGCTTGCCAGCTCTCAACGGTGTTGTTCGTCTTTATTTTCCATCATTGAACCGATGACCGGTTTCGTACCCACATATGAGCACTTCGCGCCGCCACCACACGTGTTACTTTTTTGTTATTCTGTCATCCTCGCTTCTCTTACCTTCACCCTGTTGTTCAGTGTTCTGTGTCGCTCCTTCTCGAACGCTGCGCGACGTCGTAAGTTTCTGTTCCTGTTCACACGTGTCGGTCAAATTGGAATGATACAGACGATTTGTTAATTTTTTTTACAACTTCAAATTATTTTTATAGGATACTTCGGAGAGAGAGAGAGAGAGAGAGAGGTTGGGTACTGCGTGCCAAAACTGAAACGACTATCACTGTTGACCATTAAAATGTCACGCAGTAGCGAACTTTTGGGGACACTTTCGTCTCGCATGTGGTTTTTCACCGCTTCATAAGCTTGGCCACATTTGACATGATATTTCCCAACAAATAACGGAAAGAAAGAGACGAATGTCCTCTTTTGTTCCCCTATACTTCGGAAGAAACAACATGACTGTCCCGTGGCGACGACAGATAGAAACACACTCTCTCTCTCTCCCTCTCTTTCTCTCTCTCTCTCTCTCTCTCTCTCTCTCTCTCTCTCTCTCTCTCTCTCTCTCTCTCTCTCTTAGCAGACATATAACCTAAGTTTCCATTTGTTTCTCCTAAAACATGTACTTATTCAAATAAAAACAATCCTCACGCTATTTTGCATGTTGCTTCGATCCCCATTGTGGTTTAGAGAAGCGCGGAACAATGTGAACTATGTCTACAATNAGAGACGAATGTCCTCTTTTGTTCCCCTATACTTCGGAAGAAACAACATGACTGTCCCGTGGCGACGACAGATAGAAACACACTCTCTCTCTCTCTCTCTCTCTCTCTCTCTCTCTCTCTCTCTCTCTCTCTCTCTCTCTCTCTCTCTCTCTCTCTCTCTCTCTCTTAGCAAACATATAAACTTAGTTTCCATTTGTTTCTTCTACAATATGTACTTGTTCAAATAAAAACAATCCTCACGCTATTTTGCATGTTGCTTCGATCCCCATTGTGGTTTAGAGAAGCGCGGAACAATGTGAACTATGTCTACAATAGTGTCGGTCGAAACGACGCTAGTGTGTTGATGTCCATTAAACTTCTCCCATTTCAATTTCTTGCAACTTGTTATGTGTTGCCGTTCACTGTCGACCTCCTTGTACCATTGCACAAATCCGCAGTTGTGTTCCATATTACCACTGTCAGTGGGTGCGTCCACGACAAAAAACACGGCTACTGATGCAAACCATGTGCATTCGTTGCCTGCTCTAATTGTGACGTTTCTGTGCACAGGTCTCCCATGGAACTGTGGCGACGCTCTTGCAGTTTGAACAAGTGTGCCCCTATTTGTTCCGTCATGTACACAAGCGATGGCCAGGGGTGTCCGTGTGTGTATAAGCAGGTTGTCAGAAGGAGGTTGACAACCATTCTCCACCATGTATGTCGTAAGCGCAGCTCGAAAATCGCGTCTGCAAGGAAGCTCTTCGAGTATCTTACACGCATGGTTGTCGATGCCTTCTCCCTCGCGTATATACTCGTCATCGATGTCGAACCACCGCAGTTGCAGCATTGTCGTGTCACATAGTGCGAGGGTGTTCATTCCGGTGGCCATACAGTCTGTCACGGGCGACTGATTCTCAACCGTTCTCTTCCTCCGTTTCCTCACGATCCCTATCTCTTCGCGCAACACCAATGACCGGCGCACATGGTTTACCATCTGGGTTGAAGCTTTCCGCTTGTTTGATGAAAGGTATAGCTGTTTGCAGAATTTTCTGTGGTGATGCTCCCAAACATCGGTCGCGAAGGTGTCGGGGACACCGGATCGCTCAATACACGTTATCAGATGCATGAGATCGTGCAACTTGGGGAGTTTCCATGTTGATGGTTGATATTTTCCCAATTTTCCTTTGATGGTCGTTACGAAGTCCGTGATCAAAGTGTCGCATTCATCGAGCGAAGCACGACTGTGTGTTGTACACCGAAACACTCGTATGTACATTTCCATCAGTTTCACAAAACAAACGGTAATGCCCTTGCCTGTCGAGCGTGGTATAATATTAGAAATAAGGAACACGCACACTGTCATCACAGACCGGTTTTGCTTCGCCTCGAACCGTCCCTCCCTCGAAAAAAAGTCGCTGCCAATGGCCACCGGCAACACAAGTTGGGGGTATGTTCGCGTGCATCTCTCACTAACGCTTTGCAACTTTGCATCTAGTTCCTTCAGGATCTCTGTTTTCGGTACGTGCGGCAACTTCTCAAACGTTGTGGTCCTGAATGCGTCAATCATGTGCAGGAATATGCCATGCTCGATTGTGTGCATACGGTCTGGTTGCAATGCCAGGTGGTAGTTTAGCTGAGGATCGTCACCATTGGGGCCCCTGTAAAACCCACAAAGACCGTTCTGTTGAACATGCCTATGCATGTTCAACTCCGACATTCGTGCTTCCGTTGCACGGCGAACGTCGATGTCGTCGGCAGTGAACACATTTGCTGTGAGGTGTGTTTCCAGCGTCTGTGATCTCCTGCAGTCTGTGAAATCGGCTATGACATCAAAATCGTTTTTGGACACGATGCATGTCGGACATACATCAAACTTCACAGTTGCAATCGCAAATCGTTCTGGGTAGTCCTGGATATAGTTGAGGAGGAAAGGGTGGACAGTTATGTCCCCGAATCGCGTTGTCGGTATCATTATTCCATCATGAGATGCCTCATTCGCAGACTGCAACACCACTGAAAGGGCCTTGTGCAAAATGATGGTCTTTCGCTTTCTGAATGCGATGGACTGCAGACCCCATCCTTTGTCACGCGGACGATGATGAAGCACAGGAAGATAGGCCAGCAGTGTGGCTTCGGATGCGTGGTCAGCTAGTGATATCATGAGAGGGTACGCCGTCTGTTTTTGACGACCGTCTGTATGGGTCATGTCGGAATACAATGAAAGAGGGATAACATAACGTGGATTACCATTCCCGTCCACACCTTTGTCCGCTCGAATGATCGACTGGATGTGATAACTTAGCGCCCCGCTGCGTGGGCCGGATATACTGAGGTGCTCTGACGGCGGAGACACTTCTAGAAAAGACATCGTCTCGCATTTCTGTAATGCGATATGAAAAATCGACAGAAATGTCGTTCGTCAGTCGCAGTGCCACAAGATGGCGTGCGCATCCCGTGGCCAATCGTCACAACATAGATCCGACTCTTTCCATCCAGCAGCATCTGCTAGACTCCCTGCCCATGTCAAACACTCTCGACTATTACGATACGCAATGTCTCTCGTGCAGAATCTCGGGTCCGTGAGAAGTGACAAGAGAGCATCTATGTCGCTCTGCGACATACCGACGCAGCCCCTGGCGGAGAAAATCAGTGTCGTTAGCTTGTGAGAGCTGTCAAAAGATTCGACAGGCTGCCGTTGCTGCTCTTCGAATGTCCCGCCCTCGCTGTCTACATTCTCAGGGGCCCCGACGTCCTCGCTCTCATCGCTCACGAGATTCACTGCACCTATACTTGATGCTCCGGCGTCATCGACCACACCCATCTCCTGGCCATGTGTTCTTTCGTCCGCCATGGTCGGGCATGCCCTCGCACGATGTGAGTTCAAAGTTCGTAATGACATGAAAGGGCTGCCACAGTCGCACACCCGTGGACCGCTGTCCATTTTATGTGCACGCAGTGCATTCCAAAAACAAACAGAGCGGTGCGGACAGTGTTTTCATTAATATTTTGTAGATTGGTTCAGGTCGTTAGAATTACAAGTTGCAGAGCATATTTTGTTATATTGTGTAAGTGTCGCATATCCTCTTCTTTGTGAGAAAGAGATAGGGAGGGAGTACTTATTGTCGTTTTTGTACAAATGGTCTGTGTCGCTGATCCCCATTGACAAAGATTAGTAGTCAACCGTGCGACACGATAATTTATATGCCATGACAGGTTCTATGGTCGTGCACGAAGAGGCAACAACTTACACATGGTACACGATATATGACACGGCATTCATCACCACGGTTTTGCAGTTGGCCAATTTCGTAACTATCCATCCACGACGTTTGTGAATGTGGTATGTGTTTTCCATGTCCGCGTGAAAATGATTGCACCTCGGCACCTCAGCCGACCTACGCACAAACTTCCAAAATATTTCACAACCTACAACATTTGAATTTAAATTACAGAGAATGCAAAAAAATTACACAACATACACACATTGGTCATCACAGTGGGTCTGATGTGTCTCACGTACTCCAAAAGGCAACAAATTATGACATACATCGTAACAATCATCAAATGATTGAAATATTGTTCAATCATGTGTCTGCACGCTGTAGTGAACTCTCTCTCTCTTGGATAGGCAAACAACAGGCAGCATCAAATGTAACCCGCAACTGGATGTAGAGGTTCTAATATAGCTACAACTCGACATATGAGAAAGTGAGAAAAAGATATATAGATCGATAGATAGATAGATAGATAGATAGATAGAGAGAGAGAGAGAGAGAGAGAGAGGAAGAGGAGGTTTACTAGTGCGGGTCAAAACGACAACAAACAGCACCGGTGGACACTGATATGGCACGCAGTGGTGAACCCGACCGTCGTTGAAATTGAGGCAGACATAGAGAGATGTACAGGTTGAGGGATGCATGCCTGTCATCATCCGTGATGTCTAACATGGTCTGTCGTGGTGTGTGGGTGTGTCTCCGGTCGCTGCCGTGGCCGAGCACTAACTATTGCGTCTCCTGTTGACAAGCCGGGGTGTAATGTCTCTCCCTAAGTTGTCGCCACTGCGCCGTGTATCAGGCAACTCAGGTTGACTCACCATATCAGTGACGTTGCTAGCACAGTCTCTCTATTGACCAAAACAAACCATCCCTTGCCAACACGTGACCACTTTTTACCCTTGTTGTATGATTTCATTATGCTGGTCACTGCGGCATACTGTAGTGCACCATTTGGTGTTGCCCCCTTCATCACAACACGCAGCACTTTGTGCGGATCGGGAAAAGCACGTGCCAACCTTAGAATTGCATGTGCCTACCCTTTTGTCGATTGTCCACCCGCACCCGTCAAATCATAATATACACCATGTTCCTCGTCTTCCTCGTCGCTGCTGACATCGCTGCCGCTCACTTCCACGTCAGAAGATGATGCCCCCTCATCCTCTTTTTCATCTTCTTCTTCTGCACTGTCTGTGTACTCTGCACAACAACTTGGCAAATCGGCCTCTTCAAATCCACGATCACACTGTTCTTTCTCCATTGTGAAAGCATTGAAGATATCGCAACACACTAGCTGCTCTCTCGTTGCTGTCTGCATGAGAGGCACATCGACTGCCATACTGGTTATTGATTCTTGTGCTGCTGATATCTGTCCGTTGTCTGGAATGATTGCTAAATTTGTTTCCGTGACCATCACCTTCCACCCTTCTTCTCTTTCCTTTTGTCTCTCAACATCGCAGCTTGCAAGACCGAGCCGCTCCAAAGCAGCTGATAACAACTCCCCCCACAACGGTCTGCTAGATATGATGTTGTCTTCTGTTATTGCTGGCACAAATTCTATTTGATCTTGACCTTGCAGTGCAAACTTTGTCACTTCGTGCAACGCCTCATGGATGACGTTCTTGTCGTCGTCATTCTTTTTCATGAAGTCCACAAGTTGATCCAGCATAATATATTCCACACCATCTGCGATAATGACAGGAACATCTTGAAAGTCTTGTGGCGGTGTTTGTGTAATGTCCTTCATTCTGGACAACACCAATATTTCTGCAGCACCACTCTTCAACTCCTCCTTCGACCCATCAACCAGCATTCCCCCATTCCGTGCGACAGTGCCCAGCAACTTGCCCAAGTTCGCAGGTGTATATGTCCCCCCTGTCTGCTGCATTGTCATGTCCACGTCTCCTTCTTCGCACATCCCTTCGCTGCAGATCCACTGGACCACTCCTTTTAGACTGTATGCACTGTCTTCCACATCGTTGTCCAYACGTACATGTGGTGACTCTCTGAAGCGTTGCAAGAGTGTTCGTGCTTTGACACAGCCCTCGCCGTTTGCCATGATTGTGGATCTCATATCCACAGCGACTATGAAGTACCTCGGCACCCTGTCCTGAAGCAAAGACAACTCGTTGTCACCGTTGTAGTGGACGCCCTCCTTTGCATACTTCATTACCTCTGCAAGAGCAGCCTCCACCTTTGCTACTGACATCGACATGATGCGTACGGTTTGTCTTTCGTTATTTTCTCTCTGCCAGCGGAAACGCACAATGACATCATCGACATGTGTGTGTGTGTGTGTGTGTGTGGCGTCTATGTATGAACCTATGTGGATGTCTGTGTGTCTTTGTGTATATGTCCATGGATGTGTGTGTATTAATGGTCTGTGCGTGTGTCTGCGTGTCTGTTCCCAAGTTGGCTACTTCGTGCCATTCGAAGTCGCAACGGTAATCATTCGTCAGTTTTTGGCACGCAATAGCCAACTTGTAGGGTGCATGCCAGAATGTGTGTGTGTGTGTGTGTGTGTGTGTGTGTGCGTGTCTTTCTGTATATGCCTGTGTGTGTGTGTGTGCATTTGTTATGCGTGTTTGCTTGTGCATGTGTTAGCGTGTCCGACTTCAGGTTGGCTACTGCGTGCCATTTGAAGTCACAACGGTAATCATTTGTCAGTTTCTGGTACGCAGTAGCCAACTTTTGTATGTGTGTATGTGTGTGTGTGTGTGTGTGTGTGTGTGGACCGAAGGCTAGGACACACATTAGATAGACCTTCGGGTGCCAACGAGTCTTCAGAAGGGAGGAAACGGAAAACAAGTACAAGGCCGAAAGACCCGGGACTACGAAAGTAGAGACAACTGGCAACAGGTTCCGCCGTTGGAGCCCACCGAAAGGCCGATCGTTCGGAAAGAAAGAAAGAAAGAAAGAAAGACTTGAAGAATGGAAGACGAAGAAAACGAAAATGGAAAAAAAAAAAAACAAAAAAAAAAACAAAGTAAGAAAGACAGAAAGGAGAACAAGAAAAAAACAAAAATATATGGGGTTCACTACTGCGGGCCAAAATCAGCGACAGAGTCGTCCTTCAATACCTTCATGTCCCCCACTAGTGAACCTGCTCTCTCTCTTTCTCTCTTTCTCTCTCTCTCTCTCTTTCTCTCTCTCTCTCTCTCTCTCTCTCTCTCTCTCTCTCTCTCTCTCTCTCTTTAACCCACCTAACACCACGAAGACTTCCACGGAGTCCACAATTCGACAGGACAACCGTTATGCAGCACACACAGTAGAATTATCAAGCTGCCTTTTTTTTCGCGGACCCCCCCTTACGTAGCACTGCTTTCTCTTCTTCGCCCCTGCTATGTTGCCATCCCTTTCCGCCTGTCTAACGTTCATCCGTTCCTGTCTCTCCTCAGCTTTCGCCTTCTAGTCCAACATACCTTGATATTTCTCAACCCAGCGAGGTTTCGACAACCTATCCACCAGTCCCATGTCCCTGACCTGGATCGTCACCCTCTTCGAATGGATGGTCACCTCGTTGGTGTTCTCAAAATTGGCGACCAGGTACGCCTCGGTAGCCTCCATCAAAGCACGCACCGCCGTCATCTGAAACCTCACGCCCATACCCGGAGCAATGTCCCGCTCCACAACCTCGAGCACGAGACGCAAGAACGGCCTGAAAGTCAAGCAAAGGTCGGTGGATCGTTGCAACTTTCTGAGTTCCGACAAAGTTGCCATCCCGGGGCGTCGACGGCGTCTGGGGACCTGAGTTTGTGCACCTGCGGTGTCTCCGGTCCCTGGCACCGCCTTCGGGTTCACCTTCTTTCTGCATGCGGGCGTCTGCCCACGTGGCAGACCCGGCGTGCACTTCTTCTTCTTCCCCGGGCTCTGCGATATTGCGACATCACTCGGCCCGCCCATGTCACCCTGTGCTGCAGAGCACCCCCCGACGCGACCAGGACCACATGGGCCCTCCACCTCAGCAGACAAACGAGAAATTTCTGAGCGCTTCTCTGTCCTCTTGCCTGCCTGCGCTGAACCTGGCAAGCCATCCTCCGGCATATACCGAATGTCTCGCAGGAGTCCATCTGAGTAGGTCAGATGGAAAGGCACACCAAGCGGGTCTCTGAATCTCATGGTGACGTCTCCACCATGCTCATATGTCATGGGACATACGACCGGGACCCAACCAAGAACGGTCGTGCAACCGTGCTTGCGACGAATGCGAGTCATGTATCTGTTTTTATCGTCGCCGTGCTCTTGGGCCGTACAACGCCCCTCAACCATGGACCACATCCCCTGGTCAGCCATGGAGTCATAACCCGTGCACACCATTTGACGTTCCTCCTCCCTTATTTTCTCCCTGCACTGCTTTGAGTGTTCAGCCACCAGGACGTGGTTCTTTACATTCACATTGAAAATTGAGACACGTGCCAGAACCACGAGGAACTGCCAATGCTCCACAATACTTGCATGCATTCATCCCAATGGGAGCCAATGCCCTGATTGCAGTCTTGTTGTCATCGTCACCTTGCCATCAACCACTGCAGGATGCAAACATCTTGGGACCCAATTCACACGATAGCCATACTTTTCAGGGGCCATATGCTGTTGCAACTGTCATTAAGGGATGACACGGGCCCCAATATCCATGGCAGACAGAGCGTCACTCCTCATTGTGACATGGTCCCATATCTGCGAGCATACTCCATCGTACGTGGCTTCCTGCCCTCTTGCATGCGTGTATGTGCTGCCATCCTCACCAGTGAAAACTTTCCCTTCAACCACCTCCGAGTCCACAGGGTTCCGAAGCGGCGGGAAAAAGCAGCCAGCAGTGTGGGTATTACATGTCATTGTCTTCTTCTCGTCTTCTGAGACCTCCCTGTCGAGGTGCCTGAAGGAGAAGTTGCAATTCACATAATGCGTGCTCCAGACATTTCCCATGGCATCACGCATCATCATCCTCACACGGCCACATGGAATCGGGATCACACATGACACCCAACCCCACCTAGGATCCCTCCTCGCATCGCTCTATTCGCACGCCGTACTCCCTGTTGCGTCGTTCCCGCCAATCACCCATGCCTTTCCGCAATCAAAACTGTCGTACAAAAAATCGTTCAGCCTGAACTCGCCCTGCACCTCCAGATGACGTCACACGTCCATTGCATATTGTGCTTTCACCTCTGTTGTTGCCCCGTCGTTTAACCTTAATAGTCTGTCAAACACGATTGTCAAAGTCACGTTTCACCATGTATTCTTTTTGGGGGCAGAAAATGGAACCCATGTCCCTTCGACTTTGAACGCAAAGCAGGGTGCTCCTCCAACAATACCCGGTTGAACACGACCCGGCACCCAATTGATGACATATGGGTACTCTTCTCCTGCTGATGTCTTCACCACATTTTCATCTTTCACAATACACCCTGTCAGAGATTCCCTGCTTCCCAGACCTCCCTCCTTTGTCTCTTCCCCAGCCGTTTCCGTCTCACAAGTGCTCCCTCCTGCATCATTCTCTGTTTCATCACCATCACCCATCATCTCTTCAGTCTGTGCACATATTGTCGCAAGCACCTCTGCACAGTCTGCACTGTTCCTTCCTGCCGAATTCCCTTCCTTGCTGCCATCTGCAAAACCCTTCAGAATGTCCTCCGTCTCCATGGCGCATGTCTCTCCACCGTTGACAGTCGATGAAATCGCGGGTTCCATCTATTGCATGAGACACCACATACATTTATGAGAACACGTAGTTGCGACATGCCCCCCTCACCAGAGAGAGAGAGAGAGAGAGAGAGAGAGAGAGAGAGAGAGAGAGAGAGAGAGAGAGAGAGAGAGGTTCAC